TTCTTTCAGCTTTTCATACTGAGGCACATTTGACGATGTATCCAGCACATGAGCATAACAGAATTCTCTGAACTGCCCTTGCGCACCACCGTTGCCGCTCGATGATGGGACGTCGTCGTCATCAAGTGTTATGATTAACTGCTAAAACAAAAAGCAACTTTTTCTTCCACTAAAACAATAAAAAGAATTAATAAGAATTTTTAAAAAATTTTGTCTTTTCATCTACTTCAATCGTCACACTGGCGAGGTCCAGTTGCAGCACTGAATGGGAATGTATACGAATTAATGGACCGAAACATCCTAATTCAGTTTTTATTTTTCTGTTTTATTTTTACTTTTTACTTTTCAGTTGCAACCTTTTTCATAACCATAAAATATTTAAATCTAATTTAAGATGAAAATTCGGCGAATTTTACGTATTAATTATATCTTGGGCAATAGCCAACGCCTGTTAAAGAAAGAAAACTAAGAAAACGGGAAAAAAATCGCTAAATGTAACTAGCTAGAATAGCTAATATCTTTTCCAGCCTAAAAAACACGTACACGGTTTGCCGATTCACGTCAATTTCATAACATTGTCGGTGTCTTCAAAATGTCGCATTAAGAAAGACAAGGTTGACCTGCCAAAAACCACTAATTTTGGATCCCTACAACGATTCTTGGTATTCACAAAACAATGATTAGCAACAGAAAAAATTCACTTTTACCACTGAAGAAACCCAGATGTAGTGCTTAAAAATATGTATACAATTTAATAATCCAGATTAAGATTTCTAGATTTAACTTGTAATAAATTTTCCGAATTTGTAATAAATTTTTCGAACAAAAAATAATAAACCCATTACAGATGAGCTACTTCAATAGATGTCATCTTAAAAACAAATAGCTACAAAATGTATCTCACCTCAAATTCGTTGTCCGTAACATCCGTATCAGTTTTTGAGTCAACAGCTGCACCCTCGCTGCTCTTGGGATGACCATCCTCAGCATTTCCGGAAAGAGATGAGGCTGGCTTGCTGATGTCAACAGTTTCCAATAAATCTGCTAAATTATCAGTGCTCTCGATGATGACAGTGTCCATAGATGCCACATCTTCCTCCGTTAAGCCTTTACCATTCATACCAGGAGCACAGGAAAGCAATTCCGAAATGTTGCATTCTGAAGTTTTTATTGAAAAATGAGTTTCATCAAATCAAATAAAGTAATGCTTCCATCCTAAATAACCCGAATAATATGAAGGCCGACTGGGAAGGGTTGGATGGGAGGGCGCGGTGAGGGGAGGGGGCAAAACCGGTGAGAAAGGAGGGAAAGGAGGGGGTTATGACTAAGATTCTCTTGTTT